CCCTCTTGCCTATTTTACACATGAAATGACATTTCTACCCTTGGCTTTTCTCTATATTCAAATTTCACTCTTTTCTTTACATTTTTTGCTATACAAATAAATAAAATAAAATATACGCCCTCTTTCTCAAATTAAAAATTTTCATTTATTTATTTTTTTTTTAAAAATAATTTTTTAGAAAATGTTACAAAAATGAAATGAAATACACTTTTTCATTATAAGTAAAAGTAAAATAAATAAAATAAAAAATTGGATAACATATACTCACTCTATCTCTAGTTGAAAATTCTAACTTATTTGTTTTTAAAAATAAAATAATTTTAAGGACTTTAAAAATGAAGAACAGAAAGATGAAATAAAATATGGAGTTAAAGAAAAAGACTATTTTTTATATTTTTATTTCTTTTCATTACTTTTTTTAACTGTTACTCCGTATTACTTTTTACTTTGTACATAATATTTTATTTTTCATTTTTTTGTAACATTCTCAAAAAAATATTTTGTTTTCAAAAGTACATTATGAAAAATTCTAATTTGAGATGGGAAGCATATATTTTATTTTATGTATTTGTATAATAAAGGAAATTGAAATCGGAAAAATTCAAGATCGGGGAAAACAAAAGGCATAAAATATCATTTTTGCTTTAAAAGTAGGTAAGGGGGGCATGTGTGTTCTATTTAGAAACCACATGGAGTTTACTAATTAAAGGCTAAAAGGTGCAAGGCCTACTCAATTTCTTTGCCAATCTCGCTTCTCTCATAACTCATTGATGATGGCGATAAGAAACAAAATTACCCAATCTAAGGTCATGTTCTATCCACCAAATTTGAATACTTCTAATTTAATTGGAATACGTTCTGATCTAATCTGAATGTATTTATATTTAAAACTATTTTTCATTTAATTTAGTCTGAACTGAATTGATATGATTCCAAAAAGAAAAAGTAATACGGAATAAGTTGAAGGAAACATAATGTAACAAAGATTACACAATGTTTCTTATTCTTTTTTAAGGATAAATGGACTATATTATACAGAGTAAACAAATTAAGGGCCAAGTCTATGTGTTATCTCGTTAATGTGACGGGGCGTTTAGTGCCCAAGTCGCGCCCTCTTTGGCATTCGGCATGCCACATGCACATAGCGTGACACGGTCTAATCTTTCTTGGGATACGACCATAAGTCTGATTTTTCTGTTGAATTGATTCTTTGACATGGTATAGGAATCATGTTGACTAAGAGCCTGTTTGAGAATAGCGTTAGCGATAAACGTTAACGTTTTGAAAAGACTATCTACGAGCAGCATTTAGCGTTTTCAAAGTAATCTGCACCGTTAAAATTTTATCCAAAACGCTAACGCTAATCTCTAACGCTATTCCCAAACAGGCCCTACGAGGTTACGAGTTCGAAACTCAACACCACCTAAACTTAAAAATTTAATGTTTCACGTGCAAGGTTAAAAAAATTTCAACAACAACAACTCAGTCGAATCTCACACTAACATACATTCACCTCAATTAATCAAAATACTTCCCATATTCAAACTTCAGCAATAAGATATACTCCCTCCGGTCCTAAAAGCAGGAGAGTTATTGATTTTTAAGAGATTTAAGATAAATGTATTTTGGTATTGAATTTCCAAAAAAGCCCTTTGATGTGATGCATAAAAGTAAGATTTGATGGATAGCTAGATTGTTAGTAAAAATGTATGATGTGATAGGTATGATATGAAAAAGTAAGAGGTAAAAGTGATTTTTTAATAGAAATAAGATGTATTTTTTGGGACGGATAAAAAAATAAAGAAGAAAGATTTTCAGGGACGAAGAGAGTATATATTTATTACTCACACCCCTTGGGATGACGTAGTAATCTATTTTGAAAATCTCCTAATTTCTATTGGAGTTTGATGATAACAAATTTTTAGGCAGGTTAATAAATACAAGTTTACATGTTTGAGTTTCATGATAGCAAATTTATAGGCAAGTTTAGTCATTCCAAACTTATGTTTCGCTCTAACTAATGTATACTCCCTCCGTCCCAAAAAGAATGTTACGTTTCATTTTTTGCGCATCCCTTAAAACACTTTTATATCGTCTCAAATGCTAAAAAAACTTTCAGAACAATTTCATCTTATAATAAAGAGTAAATATGGTAAATTTTAGAATTTTTTGAAGCGAGTAGCCGTGCTTTTTGTGATGCGCAAAAAAATGAAATGTAACATTCTTTTTGGGACGGAGGGAATACAATGTAAGGTGTGCACTAATTTCATTAGCCATTTTTATTACTCCGTATTAATTACCAACTTCTTACTAATTGGTTCGATATATCTAACCCCACCAATTACCACATTATAATTAAGTTGAGAATAATACTCCCTTCGTCCCACAAAAAAGTTCTCATTTTGAATAGTATTTAGTCAAATATTTAAACGCTTTGACTACAAATTGTGAGAAAGGTATATTGAATTATGAAATAAATTTTATATAATTGGATTCATCTTAGGATCTAGTTTTGATATCTCAAATATTTTTAGCATTTCTTTATTTAGATTATATTTAATTTAGGATCAAAGTGTGCAACAGTTTGACCAATTTCTGGTCAAAATGAGAACTTTTTTGTGGGACGGAGGGAGTGAAAATATACTACATTATAATCCAATCAATAACACTAAAAAAATCATACTCGGTAATATACACCTTCTAGATATATACAAAGAAATAAATATGTGAAACAAGTTTCTTTTTTAAAAAACAAAAGATGAAAGTAAAAAATGTATTTCGAGTCACAGAATTACTCCATTTGTTTCATAAAATACTAACACTTTTAGAGTTTACTTTTCTCATAAAATACTCTTACTTTCGAGTCACAGAATTACTCAATTGTTCTATAGCAGCGGAGGCTATATATGTGGCCATGTGGGCGATTGTGTATGCTGTATGCACTATACGGCTATGCCATGCTCTTCTTCTAACACCAATTAATTTTAGAAGAGTTGATAGCGTCTGAGATTTTAAACTTTCTATTAAAAAGTATTATTAATTTATTCATCACATTATATTATTACCCATTACATTAAGGGTAGAATTGAGAAGTCAACTACAAAATATATATACTTAAAATTTGCTAAAATAAAAAACAGAATTGGTTTTGAGGGTGTATATAAAAGGAGTATAGGTATATACCTCTGTAACATAATTCGTCTTAAAAAATTAGAAGACGCTAATTTCTCGAACTGACGATTTAAGTGGACTTTTGACGCTCTAAGACGACCTAATGCATCTTAATGCTTGCATTATCATTTTGTAATTCACACACTGGCATTCAGGTGTGCCTAGCTTATTCGTTTCTTTTTTATAGAAAAAGAAAAGATGTGAAAAAATTATTTTTAGTTGAATGAAAAAAAGTAAACTTTACATGGCGATACTTTACATTGATTATCAAATAAATTAATAATGCATTAAAATCTAGTACTCCGTAATAAAATATTTATTAGGAAAATAAATCATAAAAAAACATTTTAATAATTCACAAATGATAAGAAATACAATTCTTGTTTAATTATTGATCAAGCACCTTGGGAACCAATGTCATGGGATGACCCGGGGTCCTCTGGTGCCCCGTTCTTAAAATTGACGGTTCCTACTCCCAGTAAACCCCCCACCCCGCCCTGGCCCGAACACGCCCCCAACCCCTTCAATTGTATCCTCAAGTTAATTTTGATTTTGGAGTCAAATTTTGACTCCAAAGTCAAAATTAACCTGGGGTGCAATGGAAAGGGGTGGGGGGCGTGTTCGAGTCAGAGCGGGGTGGAGGATTACCAGAAGGATTCAGAGGGGTAAGAACCGTCAATTTTATACCGTCAATTTTACACATGCACTTAAACCTTTTCAAATTTGAGTGCTTTCGCGCATCCTCGTCCACATTCAATCCACTGTCGCTCTATGTGATCTAAGTATATATGAAGTCTATGTTGGTGAGCCGCTTGAGGCTATAATGGATATTGGGTCTAAATGACAAGTGGCTCTGATTTTAGCGTAGACTTAGACCCGATTGGATATGATTCTGGTTTCAAACGGGTACCAGAAGGTTTGGAGAGGGTAGGTTGAAATGTGGAATTGGTACTCGAACTTTTTCGGGTAGTACCGGTCCCATATTTAAAGTTGTTTTTGATCTAGTCTGAACTGAATTAATTCTAATATGAAAAAGTAATAAATAATAAAAAATAAAAATAATTATAAGTTGAAGAGAATAAGGCCTTAATTTACCTCCTTCTAGGGGACTCCCTCGCCGATTCCAAAAGGACTCTCAGGAATGTCGTTCGTCATTTTTCGTTGAAACTTTAGAGTAGTGAAATGTAAGCAATCAAAGCCCAAGTCACCGCATATGAAACTTACAAGCAAAAGATACTCGTTTTCATGTAAAAATGATTTTGAGTGTTTGACTTTGTTTTCGTAAGTATCAATGGAGTCAATGTTATAAAAAAATCTTAGTTCAAGTTGGATATAAACAAACAAGTAAACGCAAGCGGTAATATTTAGATTCAAGTTGAGGTTAAAATATTTTATAGTGGGTAACAATAGGCTTTGTGACAGCAACGATGATGGATGATTGTACACAACACACAATTTTCATTTATTTATTTAAAATTAAAAATCAACTTATTTCTTTTTAAGATAGTCAATGTTCTTGCCCATATTTGACAAATTTTCATCTCAATTTATCTCTCTTTACTTGCCTCTTCTACCCTAATATTTGATATTTTTTTCACTTATTTCCATCTTTTAGTGGTTACACGTTTCAACTAGGTAAATACTACCCCGTCTCTAAAAAATTGTTATAGTTTGACTTTTTTAGTTAAACAGTAACACTTTTTGATCGTGAATTATGGAAAAATATATTTAGTAATAATGTAAATTTAATAACATTAATTTATTTTAAAATATAATTTTGAAATATCATATTTTTATAATATTTAATTATTTTAAACAATTGACAAAAAAGTCAAATATGATAATGGAGGGAGGGAGTAATTTTACATCCACACCCTTGAAATACTCCGCCGCAACCCGCCACCCGCCCACCATCCATCCATGGGCAAACGTCACATCGGCCCCCGAACTTGTTACGGAAGCAAGTTTTCCGGGGAAAGAAGAAGACGAAGAGAAAAACTTATATATACACGGCCTGACTCTATTGCTTATCTACAGTAGCTCTTCCTGAACTCGAAGGTACGATTTATGCTCTGTTTGTTTCAAATCTGGAGTTTTTTTTCTTATATGCAATGTTAATTGTTGGCACACATCTCTCTATCTGAGCGAGATCATATTCCTCCATCCGAAAATTGTTTAAGATGGATGGATTATGGATATTCTCTGAAGAAATGGGGAGCATTCTAAGTTATGCTTTGTATTGCCTATTCTCCCCTTTATCAACACAATATTTAAATCTCAATCTCCATTTCTAATTTCATGTTAGAATATCAGTCTTCCTTGAATCATTGTCCTCTTGCTGCTATTTCTTCTGTTCGTCCCAGATGATTGAATGATGCAATGCATTTATGGACGAAGCCGGATTGGTATCCGGGCTTAGGCTCCATGAGAGACGAGACTTGGTCTCATGAGGAGTGGAAGAGATCACCAGAGTCTAGATTTTCGCAAGTGATGAAAAAGAAAAAGTAGGAATTGAGCATTTAATAGACTCCTTAAAAAGAAGTTATAAGCAAGATTTTTACTAAAACAATTATTTTAAAAAAGGCACTAAGCAAATGTAGAAAATCTTGAAGATATGAATAGGCTAATAAAAAACTGGCTGTAGAAATATCTTAATTGAAATCATTAGATATTGGGTTCGACTTGAATGTTGGCATGCACTTCTGTTCCTTTTTTTGAGTTGCCTTACATTTAAGAAATGAGGTTAAAATAGCAAACCAATCCTTGAAATAAGCTTGTCATTAACTGACGATGACTTGATGACAATACTAATTTGCTCCTTAGATTGTATATTTGATAATTCGCAATAATTTGTTGAGTATGGTAAGTGAACAATTCATTTCAAACAACCCAAAAAGAAAAAAAGTAGAAAAACTAAATCAGAAAGCATGGAGGTGTAAATTGTGTATTTGATAATTCGCAATAATTTGTGGAGTATGGTAAGTGAACAGTTCATTCCAAAGTCCAAACAACCCAAAAAGAAAAAAAGTAGAAAACTAAATCAGAAAGCACAGAGTAATTATGACTTTGAGTTTTAGGGGTTCTTATTCTTGTCTTGTCATCGGCTGAAAAAATTTCTGGATTGGCCCCTCTATGCATGCATTTCCATGTGCTTACAGATACTTGTATGAAGCATAACCAAGTTTTAATGTGTCTACCAGCACTCTTCTTTTGGTTGGTATTCGACTTCATGTTTTATTACCATAGGGTATTTAATTCCCTTTTTTTCATTTTTCAAATTTTGTAGAGGGAAGAAAGATAGTGGATGCTTTTTTGAGCAAATCTGTGTTTGAGGTTGCATAACCACATCACCAGTTATACTTTATCCACATCAATGTCATATGTTGGGTTCTCTTTTTTTGGAAACATTCAATTCAAAAATTTAAATCATTTAGTGCCTGAACCTTTTGCTAGACTTTGTAATTCAAACATTAAACCTAAAGTTCAAAGGTCTCGGCATAATGTGGTGGTGATTAAAAGCCATCTGGTTCCTAGGCCCTTGGAAGGATTGCCGACGTTTCAGAAAGAGTTGAAGGCGCCAGTTCAGAAATTAGAACATATACGGACGCTGCTAATTGACAACTATGACAGTTACACCTACAATATATTTCAAGAACTGACTGTTGTGAATGGGTGTAAGAGTTCTTGGACCATCTCTGTTTCCCCACTCCCTTATAAGTGTTTCATTATCAGTCTTAATTGTATGTAGTTAACTTAGAATTTGGTTCTAGATCCTGTTTGTTTTCTGAATATTAGGCCATTGAACCTTTGACAAGTAACTTAAATCACAGGATTTGAGATCTCGTTCTTTAAAACCATGAATGTCGAGCAGTACCATTTTTCTAGACTCTAGAGCATCATCTTCACTGTTTTTTATCATGAAAGTTTCATTTAATTTAGTTACGTATAATGTATCACAGCTTTAGTAACTTTTGGTGCACTTACCTTTTCCCTGTTACTGTACTAGTTCCTCCGCTGGTGGTTAGAAATGATGAGTGGACATGGAGAGATTTTTATCACTACATCTATGAAGAAAATGCCTTTGACAACATTGTTATATCACCTGGTCCTGGCTCTCCAACATCACCCTCAGATATAGGTTTGATAGGAACACCAAAGCCTCTACATCTTTCTAGCTTTTACATGAGTTCTATGGATTTCAATTGAGAGGATGCAATCTCTAATGGCAATGTGTTTCATACAAAGTACTATTAAAAACATTTTATGTGTTCATCCGTGTAACAATTCTACATAGTTTCACGACTTTAATTATGCGACTTGTTGTTTATATAGTCCCTACTTTTTCTGCATGTTGTTAATCCCTACTTCCGTACTATTAATGTTATGGTTTGTACTATTAATGATATACTCCGTATTTTGTTGTATCTAAAGTCCCTACGTTGTTTCTGTACATGCTGTGTGTAATAGATGTCCTATATCTACTATCATGACCTAAGTTTTTATTTTAGGACTTTGCCTGAGGGTGTTGCATGAGTGCAGTGATATTCCTATTTTAGGTATCTGCCTTGGCCACCAGGTAACAATTACACGCTATAACATTTGATCTTCTTTTGCATTTTAGCTCGTGCTTTTGCATTCGAGCATGTAATGTTTAATCTTCTTTCCATTTGGCTTGTCTTTTTGCAATTGCAAATGAGATTCGCTACAATTATGGTAATGTAGTGTACATGATTCATTGAAAAATAAAGTCAACATGATCATACATGTTTCATTTTAGCCACCAAGGCTCTAATCAGTTTTATTGTTAGATCTTGAAATTATTCAATTACTCCGTGACAATTAACTAATCTCTTGGGCAAAGTATTTTCATATTTTCCATAGTTTTTAACCTCCTATTGAGAACCCCAAAGTCCCAAACAATACATATAGATAGATGGTAGACCAACCACAGACAGCGAAGATTTATAAGAATCACATAACACAACATATACTTCTGCATCATTGTGTGTAATCTTGACAAGTCAACCCTCAAACCTCTATCATTAGATTCTATAAATAAAAACAATGTCTCAAATTGAAAGGAGTGTCATTTAGGAACACAATATGGACAAAACATTGTACTGGTAAAGAACATTGTAAAGTTATGTCGAATATATTCTATCCACTAGGGGTGGATATGGGCTGGGCTTGGGTGGGTAAGGAGCTTTACACCAATTATTACTAAAAATGATATACCCTAGTTTGGCTAGTAACATGAGTACAAAAAGCTTAAAAAATTAAAATAACTAAATAAGGAAATACGGGGAAAAATAGAAGTTAATGTTAAAAAATGCAATTAAGTAGGCCTGGCCTAGAAGTGGGCTAGAAAGCATATAAGTTGCACACAATGGTTCTCATCTATTCCATGAGATCCGTGCATTTTGTATCAAACTAAAGTAGGGTGTTTGGTGCCATAAAAAAGTAGGGTGTTTGGCAATGCTATGCCTGAAAACTCTACTTTATATTTCTCTGGGTTGTGGTGGAGGAACTATACTCGTGTATGTAATTGTGTTGGTCATATGTTAATGCCCTGCCACCTAATTTCACACTTTCGTATACTAAAACTTAGGACCATGTTTTGCTTATTTCCTGGCTTGGATTGTTATTATTTTGTTTAACAATAAACACTTAACAGGCTCTAGGTTATGTCCATGGTGCTCGGGTTGTCCATGCATCTGAACCTGTCCATGGACGCTTGAGGTATTTGAGATGCAACTACTAACAAGAAATGCAGTTTGCACTTAAGATTTCCTTGAAATCCTGGATCTGCATTTAACTTCTTTTCCCAATTTTCTTCTTGCAGTGATGTTGCACACAATGGTTCTCAGCTATTCCACGAGATCCCCTCTGGGAGAAATTCTGGATTTAAGGTTGGGTGGAGTTATCTTGGATTAGAAATAAATTTTATGATAGGTTTTCATTGCTGTGGTTTTATTCTCTTTTATGTGATATCCAGTTTAATATTCAAATCATATCTTACTGTAATTTGCTCGTAGAGGGCTAAGTTGATTACTATGATGCATGATCTCAATTAATCTTTGGTCGTTGTTAGTGCACAAGCAAATGCTTGAGATTAATCTTATTTATACTATTTTGATACAATTAGGTGGTTCGGTACCATTCCCTAATTATAGATCGTGGATCACTCCCAAAGGAACTCATTCCTATAGCTTGGACTCCGACCTTTGAGACCACTTCTTTCCTAGTGAGCTCTCAATCTTATCCATTTCCTAATGCATGTGAGGAGGTGAATGGGAAGAAAGTTTATATTGGACCTTTGTCCAAGGATTTAAGAGATGGAAATTCATATTTTTTGTGCGGTGTTGGGGAGATTCAAGGTAGTCAGATCCTTATGGGCATCAAGCATGCCAGCAGGCCTCATTATGGAGTGCAGGTCTTGCTTTTTTTTTTTCCTTTCAATGTGTTTGTGCATGATGTTCTTTCGCTATTTTGTAATTTGATAATTTATTTTGCCTACAGTTTCATCCAGAGAGCATTGGAACCTGCTTTGGGAGGCAACTTTTCAAGAATTTCGCTGAGATAACTAAGGAATTTTGGTTGAGAAGAACAACACCTATATCGGTATAGTCTATATACAGTTTCATATCAGTTTTTTGCATTTTTCCTATATTCTTATCTCAATAAATATATGACTCCTTTAGGACTTAAAACGGGACACCATCAAGACTTAAAAGTCCAAACTCCAGATTGAAGGTTCTAGATCCCGATTTAAGACTCCACGCTTCTTTTATAAATTCTACATACTTGAGACTCCTGAATTAAGACTCCACACTTAAAAGCTCTTGTCTTAAAATTCAAGACTTAAGACTCTAGAGTCCAGACTCCAGATTTAGAACTCGTACTCGAAGAAAATCGGTAACTGAACACGATAACTAAATTAAAATGCAATATAAAAGTTCAATAGATTTAATCATTTAAATATTGTGTATGAGTAATAAAACACTTCCTTCGCCCTAGTGTGTTTGTCCAGTTTAATTATTTGCAGCCAAACCGGATAAACTTTGGCCATTAATTAATTAAATTTACATTGTATATTAATAAAATAAAATAGTTTTTAATTTAATTGATTTAACCAAGTTTGTCTAGTTTGACCGAAAAAACTCAAACCGGACTAAAACACTGAGACAGAGGTCGTAGTTATCATCTAATTATATTTAATAACATCTATATAGTAATTACGAGTATAAAAATAAAGATGCCTTAAAAATAATAAACAATACATTTAAGCCCTTAAAAAATTGGTAAAAGTGCTCCAAATATTCCCACTTTTCGCTGGTCTACGCAAACTAATCCCACCTTTCAGTGTTGTGCACAATAATCCCACTTTTTTGAGTACTTGCATAAAATGACCGGTCCATTTTATGTAAACACCAAAAAAAGTGGGATTGTTTTGCCAAGGTGGGTTTATGTGGCGTAGTTTTGCCTAATATGTCTTCATAAATACTGTAGTTTTGTAGAACTTTTCATGGTTAGGGCTGAAATCAGTTTCGTTCTAGAATGACCTATTTTTAACTCTGATCAGTAAAACTTTCGGGCATGCATACAGGTGCCTAATGCAGACCAATTACTCGAAGATGTTTCGAGAAGAGACTATATGGCGAATAAATTGGGCGAGAAGAAATACATATGCACACACAACATAATAAGTTCTTCAAATCCTGGCTACAATGTAAAATATTTGAAGATGAAATGGAAAAAACTTGATCATTTGGCTAGCCAAATTGGAGGATCTAAGAATATATTTTGCCAGCTATTTGGAGCTCAGAATACTGGGAACACCTTTTGGCTGGACAGTTCCGCAACAGAGAAGGTACTTGATGCACTTCTTCAATAGCTTTTGATGCCTCTAGAAATCTATTTATATCTTTATCAAGATGGCATGGTATTAGCATGGTACTCCCTCCAGAGCTTCATCCCTTATTTTAAGGTCCCTAGTTTAAGTTGACATGGATTTTTAAATAAATAAAACTCTTATGTTCAAATTTGACTCCCTAATTTGCCCTTTGATTACTGGTTAGTAGTAATAACCGTGGGCCGTATATGGGAATGTTAAATGAAGAAAGTAAAGGGATGACTTATCACTTATGTGCTTATTAAATTAAGAAAGTTAACTTTATTTGGGATGGGACAAAGAGAAATTAGTAATGTTATTTAGGGACGAGGGGAGTATTTGTGGTAGCAGATCCTACCTCTAAGCAGTTGACTTGTTTCCTAAGGACAATGTTCAATTTGTAGCTTGCCACACCATTTAGTTTATGGATTTCCTGTTTCATCACCATTTGCATTCCTACTCAATTTTCTAGTTTCATGATACTAACTGATGGGTGAAATCTAGGGAAGAGCAAGGTTTTCATTCATGGGCCAAAACGGTGGCTCTCTGTGGAAGCATGTTTCATTTAGGTTGTCAAATGAACGGTAAGCTTTAGTCAAGACTTTTGCTTAAGCTGACAACAAAAACCTATTTTTTGAATGTATTGGATTATGCAATGGTTTTATTCGTGGCTTCTCATTTTCAGAGATGAGGCATACAAAAGAGGCGGCTACTTAACAGTTCAGGATGCCAGTGGTAATGTTCAAACTTCATATCTGGAGGATGGATTTATGGATTATTTGAATAAGGTACCACACGTGAAAGAGTCAAATCTTTCCTGATCTGAATGACAGTCGCAAATAAATATGATAAACATGCCCCAACATAATTTTCTACCCATGATAATAATGAACTACTGGTTTTGACGGACTGGTATATCATGCATCAGGAGCTTGGGTCATTTTGCTATGATGAAAAGGATTATGAAGGATTGCCGTTTGACTTCTATGGCGGCTATGTTGGTTATATTGGGTAATGTCTAAAGTTAGACATGCATTTGAGAATCCTATTATCTCTATTGTCTTCCTTTCCATATCTCTGCATGTTTGCATGCCCTTGTTTTGGGACATACTGTCCTTGTTCTCTTCACAAAAAAGGAAATGGAGAATCCCAATCAACTAAACAAATCTTCACTTCTGGGAAGAGTGAATGTTTAAATATATGTTTTCTTATTTAGTCCCCACAAATGGTGTTTATTTGGAACCATGGATTGTCATGGTTTTAAACACACACACATGCAAGCTTCAGATAAAAAATAGATAACTGGCCGCTATATGTGCAAGTGTTCGGGTCTTTTAGAAACAGTCTCTCTACCCTGCGTAGGGAGATACAAGGGTTATATACGCTTAACCTCACTAGACCCCACTTCTGGGACTTCACTGGGTCTGTTATTTGTGTTGTTTATGGCCACATTATGTTTAACCATCAGCCTTAGGTCGGTTCAAAAGAAGGGCAGGGAGGAGAGGAGAAATCTGGAGAAGAGGGGAAGAATTAAAAATATTGTGTTTTGTTTAATGGAATAATGTTGAAGAATTTTTATTTTAAGATAATATGTACAAATATTTCTATATTGATATTTGTAATTTAAAATGTACGTAGTACTAGTAGTGATCTATTTGTGTACCAATAAATAATCGATGTAAATAAGAATAAAAATATTAATGCAGAACAATTCTTATTAAAAAGGTAATGAAGAAAATTAGAAAAGATCTTACTCCAAAATACTCGGGGAATGAGATATGAGGAGTTTGGAGGGGTCTATAGGCCTCCTACATTTTCCTCCGCTTCCCTCCTATCTCCCCAATCAAACATACAACATTCCTCCACTTCCTTCCAAAACTCTACAACCCAACAAGGGGTTAGGCTTCATTGCATATTCTTCTTAGTTGCTGACATTCAGTAAAACATAATGCAGGTATGATCTTAAAGCTGAATGTGGCAGGACAATTAATCGTCATAAATCAAGGACCCCAGATGCTTGTTTTTTCTTCTCAGATAATCTTGTTGTTATTGATCACCTTCATGATAATGTCTACATTGTGTCGCTGCGTGATAGATACACAAAAGCGTCATCTTGGTTGGATGACATCGAGCAAAGACTTCTCCAGTTGAAACCTTCTGACTCTAAGCCATCTACACCAAACGCATCTCGAACTACTGAAATATATCCGGTAAATACTCTTTTTCGTGCCGATAAGTCTAGAGAGCAGTACATCAAAGATATTGAGAAGTGTCAAGGCTTTATCAGGGATGGAGAGAGTTACGAGCTATGTCTCACAACTCAGATGAGAATGAGAATAGGGAAAATGGATCCCCTAGGACTCTATGTTAGTCTAAGAGAAAAAAATCCAGCACCATATGGTGCATGGCTTAATTTTTCAAGTGACAATTTAATAATATGTTCTGCTTCCCCTGAGAGGTTCATGCGGTTGGATAGAAATGCGGTTTTGGAAGCAAAGCCCATCAAAGGGACCATAGCTCGTGGTTCCACCCCAGAGGAAGATGAATTGCTCAAGCTACGGTTAAAATACAGGTAAAGGTTTTATGTTAAAAAAATTAAAGCAGTGAATGAAATATAAGTTAAAAATGGTAGATATAAGGGTTTGTATAGAAGATTTTCTGAGTTCACTGTTTTACTCCACAAATTTTAAGAAAACTGTTGAAAATGAAGTATCTGGTTGGAATTTGCATAGAAGATTTTTTAGCCACATATTTACTCGAAAGGAAAGGAAAAAATGTGAAGTTTATTTTAGGACGACTAAGAAGGAAAGTGTGAAGTTAATTCAAGGGCAGGAGTATTTTTCTGTGTTTCGTAGGCAAGGGAGGGATTTCTTTAAAAAAATATTTTCATTTGAGAGAAATCTTTTTCAGACTTGAGAAATAAATTTCTGCCTCCTTGAGAAGATATGTTCTGCAGTACTCTTTTGTGACATTTAGGCTCCATTTGGAATCAAGTTTAGAGGTTAGCATTTTGAAAAGGCTATCTGACGGTAGCCTTTAGCGTTAGAATTTTAAGAATTAATCTACATTGTTAAGATTTTATCCAAATCGTTAATGCTAATAAAAAACGTTGTTCCCAAACAAGGCCTGAATATAAACTCTTTTGGACGAGTATAGACACTTGAGAATATGGCTTGCCCAAAATATTCAGGAAATTTACCAAGCACTAGCTAGCAAGTGTGTTGAAAATCTTAGTATTATCTTTATGAAAACCCTTTCGATTGAAAATCATTTCCCTTGAAATTGAATTTCTTCCGGGCCAAATGCTACCCAACATTTTAGTCTTGTTTCCTTTTAAGCAACATAAAATCATCTGCCAAAACTCTCCCTATTGTTTTGTTTTGAATTTTTTTATCGTTTGCAGCGAAAAGGATCAGGCCGAAAACTTGATGATTGTGGATCTCTTGAGGAACGACCTTGGGCGTGTATGCGAGGCTGGCACTGTACACGTCCCTCACCTTATGGAGATCGAATCGTACGCGACTGTCCACACAATGGTGAGCACAATAAGGGGGAAGAAGCATTCGGATGTCACCCCAATTGATTGTGTCAAAGCTGCATTCCCTGGAGGGTCTATGACTGGGGCACCAAAGCTGAGATCAATGGAGATTCTGGACTCCCTTGAGAGTTGTTCGAGGGGCATTTACTCCGGTTGTATTGGCTTCTTCTCATACAACCAAACGTTTGATCTCAACATCGTTATCAGAACAGTTGTGTTGCATGACGGTGAAGCCTCAATAGGAGCGGGTGGGGCCATAACCGCCCTCTCGGATCCCGAAGCTGAGTATGAAGAGATGGTTTTGAAAACTAGAGCACCCAGAGAAGCTGTTGTTGGGAGTGGGTGCATAAAGGATGCATGGCAACAGGGGGGTTAGTTCAAAGAGAGTTTACTATGATTATAAATTTATAATACATCACCATCAAAAGATTGTCTCAAAATAAAATAAGCTTGTTTGGAAACATCATTAGTAGTTTCTATTTGAAATATCAGTTTTTTTTTATTTTGAAAATTTAATAAAATAATGTCAAGGAATATCTTTGATGGATTTTAGTTCACCGAGATTCAACAATATACTCTGTATATAATACTATGATCTAATATACTCCCTGCGTCCCATTTTATAACGTCTATTTTGGTTTATGATGTTTGATTGAAATTATTTTTAAATCATTTTATATAACAAATGGTTAATAGTTAAAAAATAATAATTACATATTAAAATACTACATCAAAAGATCTACAAAACTAGTAGTGACAATAGTACTTTATTTTATCAAATTGCTAACTAAAATTGAGAAAAAATGTGAATGAAGTTTGACCTTATGAATAGTGAACATACATTATAATTTGGGACGAATGGAGTAACAAATAATATGAATACAAGGGAGACCATGTTCTATTCACTTGACCATGTTCTATTCACTTTATATGAATGGTTCTGATTTGATTGGAGTAAGTTTTGATCGAGTTTGATGTGATCTTAATGTAATTATATACTCCGTATAAAAGTATTTTTGATTTGGTCTAGTTTAGTCTGATTTCAATAAGAAAAAGTACAACAACAACAACCCAGGTGAATCCCACAACAGTAGGGTCTGGGGAGGGTGTGTGTACGCAGACCTTGTCCCTACTCGGAAGTAGGGAGACTGTTTCCAAGAGACCCCCGACTCCACCTGCACAAAAATATGGAAGGGAACATAGTATAACACAGATAAAGCATCAAGTACAAGCAATAGCAGAAGATTCCAAACGAATACAACACGCTACAAAACAATCTCTACAACACCAAGCTTCTATCCAGTTACTCTAATTCTAGTTTTCCAAAGGTTCCTATCTAGGGTCATATCCTCAGTCAGGTCAAGAAGACCTAAATCCTGCCTAATCACCTCCTTCCAATTCTTCCTAGGTCTACCCCTTCCCCTACTTCCCCCGATAACTGCAATCCTCTCGCATCTCCGTACAGGGGCATCAGGATCCCGCCGTCTCACATGGCCAAACCATCTCAACCTCGCTTCCCGTAACTTATCTTCCACAGGTGCCATGCCTACCTGACGTCGGATAACTTCGTTTGAAACCCTATCCAACCTTGTCTTCTCACACATCCATCGTAACATCCGCATCTCCGCCGCATGCAGACGACGCACATGAGTCTTCTTAACCGCCCAACACTCTGCCCCATATAACATAGCAGGTCTGACTACGGATCGATAGAACTTACCTTTCATTCTAGGCAAAATCTTCGGATCACACAATACCCCTGAAGCTAACCGCCATTTGGCCTAAGCCACTCCAACACGATGTCCAACATCTGCATCTAGCCTGGATTACCGAGCCAAGATATCGAAACCTGTCTACCTTAGGTACTAGGTGCGAGTCAATCCTGACTTCCACCTCTGATTCTGTATCTCGGCCACTGAAACGACATTCCATGTATTCAGTCTTGTTCCTAAGAATAACAAAAAGTAATATTCTGTAAGTAATACGAATAAGTTGAAGAGAACATGACTAAGTTACCTCGAAACTAATTTTGCTAAAAATCACACGCCCTTTCTCGTGGTATCATGCTAAGGGGGTGTGTAATTCATGGATACCAAGGGTGTACATTTACAATATGCGTTCGGTGATTCTCTATGAAGAAAATAATTATGAACGATTGGCTTTATTGTTTTTAAAGTATCTGTACAATCAAAAAGTAATAAAAAATGCTAATTCCATATGAAAATGTTTTGTCCAAACAAGGCTTTGATCTAGAGATTTCTCCTCCACTTCTTGAAAGTGATGTCTCTTTTATACTCGAATATGTGAACAAATTCTAGGATTAGGATTTAGTAATTTACAGAAGAGTTTTGTATGTTTTCATTTACTATTTGGTAAAATAAAATGTTCTTTTCTTATATTGTTTTGTAATTTCTTTTATTTAGTTTTAAATAAATTTTTTCATTTTCTTTTTATACCTACTTGTAAATAAATTTTTTTTAAGACTAATACGATTTTGTACATTGTTCTACTTAATTACTCTTACACATTTTCTCCAATTTTATAAACATTTTTACATATTCCCTACATTTTTAATCGCTTTTAATCTTTTACTCTTTCTCCCCATCTTTTCAATTACTTAATAAATTTCATAATATCAACAAAGTCAATTCGTGACTTTTGGGGGAGGGGATTAATTTATTCATTTTGAATTCAAAGAGATTAAAGAATGTTCTTTTTTAAAATTGAAAAATTCGTATATTTTTATTTTGGAGCATACCTTTTGTTATTAAAAAAAGCCAAGAAATGAAAAAAAGGACAGCATTTAAAACAAACGAAAAATAAAAACAAAAACTCATGTGATAGATGGAGTACATAACTCACGTGTTAATATAAAGGGATGGAGACAAAGCTCATGTTTTATATTATTCCCTAGTCCACAACCCAATCATTGAGAAAGAGTTTAAAATTTGTAAGAAAAAAAAAACAAATTAGAACTAAAAGACAAGGAATAAAGACTTAAAATAGATCTCTCACATATTTTTATCTCTAGACTAAAATTCACCATACAATCTTAGTTGGAGCTATAATGCCAAAAATAATACTCCCTCCGTCCCACAAAAAAGTTTCCATTTTAGATACTCCCTCCGTTCCACAAAACTCTTCCTCTTTCGTTTTTTTTGTTTTCCACAAAGCACTTCCACTTTTTATTAAAAAACCATTTTTACCCCTACTTTTTCATACCCTACCTATCACATCATACTTTTTCACTAATAACCAAACTATCACATCTTAATTTTTCTCATCATATCAGGGACAAAATTGGAAAGTCAACCAAAATTACACTTTCCTTATTTTTCCCCAAAGTCAAAACCGGAAGGGTTTTGTGGAACGGAGGGAGTGGTATTTAGTCAAATATTTACACGCTTTGACTACAAATTGTGAGAAAGATATATTGAATTATAAAATAAATTTAATATAATTGGATTCATCTTAGGATGTAGTTTTGATATCTCAAATTTTTTAACATTTCTTTATTTAGATTATATTTAATTTTTGGTCAAAACGTGTAACTATTTGACCAATTTATGGTCAAAATGGGAACTTTTTTGTGGGACGGAGGGAGTAATTCATATTAAAAAATGTCACACTGTAAAAAAACAAACATAACACTGAAAAATGTCAACTATATTATTAAGAATATTAGATGTATTATGATAAAGAATATTATTATTTATTATCTTCTTTATTCTCTTATTTCCTTATTGTATTGTCACATTAATTTTTCTCCTATTTAAATTAGAATTCTCTATTGTAATCTCTAAGCTATACATGAGGATGTATTCTTCATTATTGAATAAGATCAATAATTATTATCAAAATACATCACATACCAATGTATATTGTCAAAAATAAATTACCAAGAAGAAACAATATGATTTACAAGAAGAGTGCTTCTTTGATTTACCTTGGATGCATATCAATTTTGTAGATTTTGACATATAAAAAAATCTTTTTTTATTTTTTATTTAAAAATAAATGCATATTTAAGTAGTAAAAAATTATTTATTTTGCTCATATGTAGGTTTACCATAGAATTTGTCGATTTGAAAACATACAATGTCATGTTCACAATTGCACATATTGAAAAAGAAAAAATTGTGATAAGAAATTTTATGTAAATAAAAAAAGAAAGAAAGAACAAAAGAATCACGCCCCAATGAAAAACAAAGATTTCATTTTGAAAGATTTCTTGTAACACTTGAAGGCGTATAAAAATGTTTCGTGAGCTTTGAATTAAAAATAATACGTACAACGCGCAACAAGTTGAGCTTGTCCCACGATGTTATATTATTTTTTAAAATTTTATATTCATATGCCCCAACAAAAAATTAATGTGATCTTTCTAATTAGGTCAAATTTAAATTTTTTTAGTAAAGAGTATTTTATTGTATAAAACTAATTGTTTATAAAATAAAATTTCACCTTACATATTAAAAAATATTTTACATTTAATAAATATTTGAAATAAGACTTATTATTTTTTGTCATTTCAAATAGTCTATCAAAAAATTCAAGTGACACTGTCCTCGGACTCCCGACGATCAATCAATACTGCCCCATCTACTTTAATTCCTGGATCCGCCATGTGAGAACCTGATACAATAATTACTCTCTTGGGTCATCGGACTCCAAAGTCCAAACTATATACTCCCTCCGTCCACAAATAAACTTGGAAAAATTACCCAAAATAATTCCAACTTTACCCGGTCTTTCAAAAATAATCTCACCTTTCACGGTGATGCATAATAATCCCAACTTTATTGAAATTTGCCAGTTTTGGGTCGCTGTTAAGTTTCTAATGGAGGGTTAACGGAAATGCCCGTTTTAGGCAACAAAATGAAAGTTGAGATTATTTTTGATGAATTTTTGTTTTTTAATTTTTTTTGAAATTTTTATTTAAAATTTTTGAATTACTTTCAACCTCAATATCTTTTTTTTTTAAACTTTATTCTTACCTTAGAAAAAATAGATATAAAAAATAATGAAAATGAGAAAAATAACTAAAACCATACAAAATTAATCAAATAAATAATGTAATCAATAGAATTTAAACAGAAACTGGTAAGAAATAAAATAAATATATACGGAGTGGTGGGTTTTAACATTTTACACACTATACGAAGTCTTAATGTACTACTTCTTTCGTCCCAGAGTATTTGTCCACTTTCATTTTTACACACCAACCAATACACTTCTTTAATCCATTTTATCTTGTAATATGTATATTAAATAATTCTAGAAATTATATATTAATAATCTATATGCTAAGACAAATAAAACAAAATCACACATGACTATATTTAGGCTTACACATTGAGAGAATTTGATGAGTCAAAGTGCTTAGATGAACAGTTCCAAAAGTCAAAAGTGGACGAATATAGCGGGACGGAGGGAGTACTTATTTTTTAAAAGAACAAGCCGTCCGGTAAAGTTGGAATTATTTTAGATAATTTTTTCTAAAAAATAAGAAGTGATATGTTAATACTTTGTATAATGCGTAAAATATTAAAACCCACCCGTATATTTTTATTTTACTTTTACCAATTTCAAGTTAGTTTCCATTGATTACCTTATTTNGCTTAGATGAACAGTTCCAAAAGTCAAAAGTGGACGAATATAGCGGGACGGAGGGAGTACTTATTTTTTAAAAGAACAAGCCGTCCGGTAAAGTTGGAATTATTTTAGATAATTTTTTCTAAAAAATAAGAAGTGATATGTTAATACTTTGTATAATGCGTAAAATATTAAAACCCACCCGTATATTTTTATTTTACTTTTACCAATTTCAAGTTAGTTTCCATTGATTACCTTATTTGTTTTATTATTTTTGTATCATTTTAGTTACATTTCTCATTTTTTTCATTTTTTTATATCTATTATTTTTATTTTTTAAACTAAGACTAATCTTTAAAAAAGGAAAAAGAAATGACGATGGAGGTAGAAAGTAATTTAAAAAATTTAAATGAAAAATTTAAAAAAAATAAAAAAAATGAAAATTCATCAAAAATAATCCCAACTTTCATTTTGTTGCCTAAAATGAGCATTTCCGTTAACCCTCCGTTAGAAACTTAACGGCGACCCAAAACTGACAAATTTCAGTAAAGTTGGGATTATTATGCATCACAGTGAAAGGTGGGATTATTTTTGAAAGACCGGGTAAAGTTGGGATTATTTTGGGTAATTTTTCCAATAAACTTTACGTTCACTATTCACAGGGTCAAATTTTATTCACTTTGTTAGCCTATTTTCGTCACCCATTTGATAAAATAATATAGTCATGTCACCTCTAGTTTTGTAGATCTTTTGATATACTCGGAGTAGTTTTTTAATATGTAATTTTTATTTTTCAATTCTACACCATTTTTCTTATAAAATGATTTGAAAATAACTCCATTCAAATATCGTAACGCGTAATGTAAAGTTTATTTGTGGACTGAGGGAGGAGGGAGTATACTCAAAAAATTGCTGCCAGGTACTCCTGTTTTGTGGTAAGAACTACGGGGTACCCCTAATTTTGAAAATATACTCCCAGGTACCCTGAATTATAAAAAAACATACTAAGAGGAGATTTCCCATCCATCCTCCATCCATTTAGGTTTTTCCGTTAACTTCTTGATCAGCATCAGCATCATCATCATCATCATCCAGCATCTCCATCTTTAATTCTTCGGTCTTCCTCCTCCTCCTCTTCTTTTTCTTTTTCTCTTTCTTCTTCTTTCTTCTTTCTTCTTCTTCTTCTCCTCCTCC